ACACAAAGCTCACCATTTCTTTCTCTTAAACTCCCACACAAACTCACCATTTCTCTCTCTTAAATTCCCACACAAAGCTCACCATTTCTTTCTCTTAAACTCCCACACAAACTCACCATTTCTCTCTCTTAAATTCCCACACAAAGCTCACCATTTCTTTCTCTTAAACTCCCACACAAACTCACCATTTCTTTCTCTTAAATTCCCACACAAAGCTCACCATTTTTTTCTCTTAAACTCCCACACAAACTCACCATTTATTTCTCTTAAATTCCCACACAAAGCTCACCATTTCTTTCTCTTAAACTCCCACACAAACTCACCATTTCTTTCTCTTAAACTCCCACACAAACCTTACCATTTCTTTCTCTTAAATTCACACACAAACTTCACTACTTCTTTGTCTTAAACTCACACACAAACCTCACCACTTCTTTATTATAAATTCACACACAAACCTCACTACTTCTTTGTCTTAAACTCACACACAAACCTCACCAGTTATTTGTCTTAAATTCGCACACAAACCTCACCACTTCTTTGTCTTAAACTCATACACAAACCTCACCACTTTTTTGTCTTCTCTAGGAGCTCAAGAATACGGCGAAGCAGCAGCCTACATTCAAGCACAGTTTGAAGCCAAAAACAAGTCCACAACCAAAGAGATCTACTGCCACATGACGTGTGCCACGGACACAACAAATATCCAGTTTGTATTTGACGCTGTAACGGACGTGATTATAGCAAACAACCTACGAGGTTGTGGGTTGTATTAAAGCTATGCAGTGTGGCTGGCTGCATAGAAACTTACACCGACTAGACGAGAAGCAGGCCCTCACCCCCCAGATGGAGCAGCCGCAGAATTAATCTACTGTCTTGTTGCTGGGTTCGAGCCTAGGAAGCACGCTTGCTCCACTCTATATAACACTTGTACCCTCACCTTCTGTTTTAATGTACTATCACCTGTAATTTATCCTTGTCGGTTTGTACAGTGCATGTTGAATCGTTTTACTGGTGAATGATGCTTATATAATAGAGAAAACATGAAACTGGTAACAAATGTGCGATTTTAGGCACAATTGCATTGTAGAAGCTTGTAGAGTTTTTATTTAATAACACACAGCAAAAGTATGATAAACAAAAAGGTTCCACTTCAGACTTAGAGCCCCAAGTTTGAAGTGCGTCTTTTTTTGTACACAAAGCTAACATGTAAACGTGCTATGCTGGTAGTAATCTTTATTATACTCTTACGGTGTGAAACAGTCAATAATGTCACGTGTTTTACGTCTGTTTGGTACATAGGTGCCAACTCGGCTATGCACTAAAGATCCAGCCTAATAGAGACTAACCATCGGTAGTAACTTTTGAGTTTTACAGACCTCAAGTCTGTGTAGAGTCAGGGAGAGAGGTACGGGCCTGCAGAAATTGAAAATGTGGTCTTTAGTGTTATCAGATACTTATTTGTTGGTAACAGATGATAAAATATTTAAGTCAAAACGACCCAAACCTTGAAAGGAAAAGAAACTCTTAGTAGTAAAATCTTGCATTGCATGGAGCATTGGGGAAGTTCGTATATATTTAGTAAAGTCATTGCTGTTGTTTGGATATGATGTCTAATATTTATTTTCCACGTACACTTGCTTTTTCTATCTTTCTCACTCCAAACTTCTCTTGCCTCGTGAAATTCTGTTGTTTCGATATCATTTTTCGTACACTGTTGATTCAGTGAACCTTAAACACGATAATTTGATTTGATTCATATGCACCGTAACTGAAAACTCATTCCAGAAAGAATTTTGAAAGATTCGAGTATTATAGAAGGATGGGGAGGTTCTGGGACCACGGCGCTTGTGACAACAAGCTAGCTGTCATATAAAGCAAACATGGCCACAAAGTAGCCTTTAGATTCTTCTCGTTCTCCTTTTTTGGGTATGTAGTTTACCGAGTTTGTCTACCAAAGTTCCAGTACTGGTAATGATGTCGAACAATAAGTATTTAAATATTTGCTTAACTGTCTTAAGCAGTAATGATCAGTTCTGTGGATTTGGTCAACACCATTTTAGCCATTTTCACTTAGTTAAACATCCATTCTCATTCCTTTACTGTCTAATCGACAATTATCGAACTAAAAGCTGTATGTGAATAAGTGTTGATCCATGTGTAGGTTGTATGTCAAAACGTGTTCAAACGAGGCAACCAGTTAGGGCCACTAAATGTGGGTATGTTAATTAGTCAGTGTGATTGAGTACACGTTTCGGTAAGGAAATGTACCCAATAATCATGACTGGATGAAATTTGCCTCCATAATTAGCTATCATCTGTTGCACTTAAACACGTGATTCTTATATCCTGTTACCTTGTATGTAGATAGTTGTACCTAACAGAGTCAACTTAGCAGTGTAACCGATGACACAACTTGGTGCTTTCTACTGTGCCAGATCTAGCTTATATATACTTAGCTTTATAACAACGTTTCCTTAATCGATTTTGCCTCTATTCACTTAGGTCTGTGATTTTTAGCTTAAACTAATTTTCATGTACATGAATTCATCGATTAATGTTGGGACCTGAAGAATATGTCGAGCAGAACTTTGGGTGTATAATATGGCAAAGCTTGAGGCCAGCATTGTAATTGCCGGTAAAAAGCTTTGCCTTGCATTATCTGTACTGTCAATTAAAAGTTTCTAACCAACAAATTGGAGCCAACTGTTTCAGTCAGTGAACACAGTATGTAGTTAAAATAATATTTTACACAACTGTATACAGCTTCATTCTTCTTCCTAACATTATTTCAAGAATGAAAACAAATAATCGCTAATATGCAATTAAAGAGTATAAATTAAAATGTACATACAAGCACTACTTTTAACAGATTTTTACAACCGAAGTGGAATATGACTCCTTTCGATAGTTTTCTTTGTTCTGGACTCAAGTAAACTAACGAGAGATGATATAGTTCGAAACAGCCATCATCACCCGTTGTATTGGATTTGTTACTGAATCACGTTTCGGATTACAAGTAAAAGGAAACACTTGTACTTAAATAACTGGAAAGCTACATGGATATCCCCTACACAAAATATGAAAATTATTATTTTGTTGAAAAATTATAAAACATTTTTCTGATTAACCTGTATTGGATTGGTCAAAATGTAAGTGTATGCATAGGCGTATGCACATCTGTATTTAAGTTATTTTAAAAAAGGCACATTTTATAGTCCCTCAGAAAAACGCGCATTTTTAAATGTCTTCAACAGGAAAGATATGCCTCTCTCCCACAATACACATTTATTAACCCAATTTCCAAAGCGTTCTCTACTGAAAAAAGTTTTTGTCTTTTTTAAGGCATAGAAAACAAACATATCCTTTATATACTTAAGGAAAAAATCAGTGGAATTTGTTATAGTTACTTACTTTAAATATCTGAAAATAATTTGATTCTAATACTTTTAAGAATACTGAAATTTAAATTAAAGTACAACAACTGAATGAACGAGATTACTTTATTTATAAATATATTTTGCAAAAAAAAAAAAAAAGAGTTAATACCATCACCAACAACCCATCGCCTCACTGCCACACACAAACACATGCGCTTGTAATTGTAGACTTATAATATTTCAGTCCCCCGATGGGTCAGCGATAAATTTACGGATTTGTAACGTTGAAATCCGCCGTTCAATTCCCCATAATGTACAGCTTTGCGTAGTTTTGCGATAAAAAATAATATTTTGTTACTTTCTGCGCCTATGAGTATATAAAAATATTTGCGTTCACATTGAGATAATATAGCAAAAAGACTCCTTATATATAATGTCTAGAATATTCTTCTAAATATTTTATAAAATAGGAAATAACCCGTACGTATTTGATATTGGAAAAACGACATACTCAATGTGAATTTTTATAGGTTTAAAAGAAATCGTAAACAAATCTTAAGTTCTTGAAAATGATCGGAATTTTTTAGTAACTGATGAATTTTACCAACAACCATGAATTATACCTCATGGGACATTTATCAATAAAAAGTACATGTGAGTGAAGTATTACTACAAAATTATTACATAACAACAACCACAATATTTAGGTAAAATATGATAAAGAATATATTTCTGCAGGTTGGGGATTATGTATATCCGAATAATCTCTCTTATTTTCAGTAATGATCTTAAGTATAGGAAGTGTTTTGAATCATGGAAACAACACAGAATGTTTTAACTGTTCAACTAACACTCTCAGGCTCAACATGAATTAGCTGCTTAAAAAGCAGTATTGTAGGATGTGTTTGGAACGCAAAAAGGATTTAATTCCATTTCTTATCGGGCAATGTAGCATATTGATGTAACGTTAGCTTAAACCAAATATTTAGACTTATAAAGGTCAGATTAAGGTATTTGCTCAAAATATAGTACAACCCAATACAGTCTGAATTATTGTATTTATTTGAGTTTGTTTGAATTAACCCGAAGCAGCTACAATTCAGAAATAAGAGTTCTTTTCATAGCCCGTAACATGCAATCAGTTAGGTATGAGCAAAACAAATTTTGGGGACGTGTTCATTTTCACCATTTCATGCGACTGAAAATGGTTTTACAAATTTAATAATACCTAATTCGAAACAAGATATACATTTTGTTGTTTAAAATACTGTAACGTATTGGATGCTTATAATATTGCAATAAATAGCTTTTTCTTGAATATAATATGAAGCTTATAAATGACTCAGTATATTATAAAGCACAATATTGAAAAAAAAATTTTGTTGATTCCTTTGTGATATTTTTTAGCACAAGTACTCAATTGCTGTAGTTCTTGTCCTGGATGGGTTTGATGATCGGATTCATGTTATCATGAAATTAATCATCAATCGCAAAGCCTTGAAGAGTCTCTTTATAGGAATGTTTTTTTACTATGAAGCTGGATTCGTATACTACGATTGTAAGCACACTAACAATATCTGTTGACTTGTGTTATTTATTTTTTTACATTTGTCAGATACAGGGTGTCCGAAAATTATGTTGACACAAATATTGAATGAAGTAAACAATTTTATTAACTTAATTCCCGGACACTTTGTATACTCTTTTGGCATTTAATAGATATATAACTTTTAAATAAAATATGCATAGAAAATTAAATATCATGTAATGTACAAGTCTTCACATATTTATCATCAAGAAAACATACCAGTAACTATTTAATAATACATTTAAGAACAAACTCAAACAGATTCAAAATAATTCGGAGACAGCATTTAAACTTTTCTAACAGCCCAGATTCACCCCTATATGTTAGTAGAAGGATTTGGTAAGGAATATAAATCCTTGTAAATTTTATCGTGCCTCTAACTTCTGTTAGATGGGTTTTGATTTGGTAACAACTTTCGTGTTGATTATATAAGAATAACAATCCAAGTTGTTCACTTCGTACAACGTTGTTTTGCGTCGTTTCTGAAGCAAATGAAATGAATTCAAATAGTACATACATGTATAATAGATTTTTTGTGAAGAACCTATAGATAACTGTCGTGAAATTCAAACTCCAAAATAAATTAGCAGCGACTATCAAGTCTATTCATTAGCAATGATGAACGGGGACTTCAAATTGTGTTTATCATTATATCTCGTAAAATGCAAATAAGTATTTTAATCTAAATGACACAAGTCTAAAGTTTTAAAGTAAAATACAGAATGTAAAAAATATACTGAAAGTTAAGCCTAATTATATGTGATCCCTTTTGTTATAAACACTATATATATCAGTGAACAACAGTGTAATTTTTAAAGAACTGTGTATGTGAAAAGTTTTGAAGGTCAGTGCATGTGAGGTTCTCTGCAGGGTCATCATGGTAGCATTCCCTGAGAGAAGAAAACATGTTATTAAGTGTCGTCTGACAACCATAGTAAAACATTATTAAGAGCATCCGCCAGATATTTACAAGTTTAGTTTGTCAACGAAAAATGTTTGTTTGTCAGGAGACGACATGAAACGTCTTAGCGTGTAAACAGACCATGAAAGAACTCGTTTCAACAACATCCACTACACTTGGAGAAACTAGATGTCTCAGAAATAGAAACAAAGCGACTATAAGCTTCCAACGAACGCGTTCAAAGCAGACGGTTATTTAATTACTGACACCTCATTGGCAGTTCTGTTGGTTTAAAACTACAAATCCCTAAAGAATCGTTCATTTAAAACTAAATATTGTAGTAAAAAGAAAAAGTTATTTTGTATTCTGAGATAAACAGTAGATATATGTTTTCTGCATTCATCTTTATTTAAATGTACGCTGTAATAGTACATACATTTGTAGGTGCCGTTATAATCTAAGGAGTCTCTGGGTAATCAATGAATTAATTTGAAAACAGTTTTGTTGATTGACTTTTTATGTTATGGTTAATGTTTTTATTTATGAAAATAACGAAGTTCCCTAAAATTCTAGCCCAGAAATACCCCCCCCCCCCCAATAAAACTACAAGCTACGAATCTACAATGTATCTAAAGGAGTTCATTATTGATCATAATTTTAGATGATCTACTATGACAACATGGCTCAATATCTTGTTTAACTGCGAGGTTTTAATTCATTTTTCAATATGCGAAATATATGTAGTTTTCTGCTGAAACAGTATAGATGCATTTAAAAATTCTAGACGTATTTATAACACAAGTCCTTCAACTACATGGTAGAATTATTAAACAAAGGACGCACAATGAAAACTAACATTTCGGTGAAATAAAAATTGAAGGATAAAGATTATTCTTTAAGACTGATGTGAACCAGTGTGTTTCTTCAGAATTAATTGTTAATCTTGTTAGCCAGACTAAGATATATACAGAGTTGCGTGCGTTATATTGAAACGATCTTGAATATGAAAATCAGAAAGCACGTGCCAACCACCAGCGATATAAAGTTACGGTAGAACGGTACGTAACGGAACTACATTTTGACATTACTTGGCGTTTGGTAAGTAGAGGGATGCTTCCGCAAATCTATTGAAATTGGGAATAGTATGTGACATTCAGACTCAAAATATTCATGCATTCATATTTTAAAGCAGTGTTTAGATATGGGCTTTAGAATTTTCAAGACGAAGATTTCCTATGCACTTTGAAACAAAGGATTATGAACCATCTTAGGTCACCAGGGCCATCCAAAAATAGACCTGCATCAAGACTTACCCAAGCTGTGTTGAAGATACACTAAAACAAAAGGCAGTGACAACAGTACACAACACAGTCAAAAAGATCTCTGTCTGGAAAAGTGACAAAAGTTATATGTACACAAGTTACTTCCACGACATATCCGTTCAACGAAGACCTACTAGTCAAGTCGAAAGACACAGAACCTTTGGAATTCTAGATGATCAGAATGCTGCAATAGCCATTGTGAAACCGTTGTTCCTCGTATACTAGATGACTTATAGTAAGCATACAGGTAGTATTGGTGTGCCTTTGATATGAAAACCTTACGATGGAGCCTTTTACAATAGAAACTACACTGCATGGCTATTGTCAAGATGCATGGCTGTCAGATGAAACGTGACCAGACATTGTGACATGAAGAGACTTGAAAATCCTTTTAATATAACGTACACAATCTCTTTACTAATAAGAAATTTGTAAAATTCGTAGAGTGAGATTTATACTCCAAACTAAATTTGTCTTTTTACAGTTTGTTATTGTTTAATTTTGCGTGTATATGTTTATTATGACAGATCAAATACTTCAGTAAGGTCAGTCAAGAAATAACCAAACATAAAAAAACCTGACTAGTCAAGAAATGAAGAAAAACTGTTCTCATGTCAATATTCATGTATAGTACTAATACCACAGTGTCTTGTACGTTAAGGTTCAAGCCGGTCCAAAAGAAACCAGGTCCACTATCTCAAGGTTCCCAAACTTTCTCAGCATAAGACCCCCAGCCAATAAATCTATATATGAGTACCTTAATGTTATTGTAGAGTATTGTAATGTTATTGAATGAGTAACGACAAGGTTTTTCTTTCATCATCAGGTACCTTCTTAAACTTTCAATTACTTTTTTCGTTACCCATTCAAACCGTTTCCAAACTTTATTGGTCTCAATGTAGGGGCCCGGCATGGCCAGGTGGTTAGGGCGCTCGACTCGCAATCTGCGGGTTCGAATCCCCGTCACACCAAACATGCTCGCCCTTTCAGCCGTGGGGGCGTTATAATGTGACGGTCAATCCCACTATTCATTGGTAAAAGAGTAGCCCAAGAGTTGGCGGTGGGTGGTAGTGACTAGCTGCCTTCCCTCTAGTCTTACACTGCTAAATTAGGGACGGCTAGCGCAGATAGCCCTCGTGTAGCTTTGCGCGAAATTCAAAACTAACAAACTCATTGTAAGTGTTTCTTCATCAAATTTAACGATATCTTGTGTATGTGATATTGTCCGCTTGAAACTTTCCTGCGACCCCCGTTTGAGAACCACTGTAGTAAATAATCCGAAAAAAATAAAAATAAAGACTTCTAAATATGGTTGAGTTCAGATCCAATTTCATCATTGAGCATGTTTTCTTTCTTTTTAACTATTTCTGTCGCTTCTCTTCTGTTGCGCTGATGGAATAGTTTTTAGTTCAGCAAAGAGTTTTTATTGATCTAAATTGATTTTGCAGTTAGTCGTGTGAATATATAAAGCTAAAGCCGATTTTTCAACTTCCTTCCGATGACAGTAGTCTTCATATTCCTTTACTCTAATTTAAAAGAGACCATTTTTGTTTGACCAATATAAATACGATTAAAAGAATATGGAATGAAATATGTAGATACCCTGTTTATAGTAGGCTTCTGTCTTATATTTACCTTTATTACATTTTTGAAAAATTTGTTCATTGGTTTAATTTTATTCCTTTTTAAAACAGCACCTATTTTGTTTGATATCAAAGGGTAGTTGATATCGTTAGATAAGATTCATCAGTTAATCTATCTGCAGTTATTTGGGTCTCTTTCTTATTCAGTTCTTTAATATTTTTAACAGACTAAAATCTGACCCAACCAAATGGACTTGGACACACCTCAAAGCTGAAATCAAGAAAATTCAAAGCTTAACAGAATAAAAAAAATAGCATTATCCCTTCCCAAATAAAAACATTCTGCTCTCCCTAAATTGTACAAAGAGGGTTTAATATTTTGGCGTCCCCCGGTAAGTTTACGAACTTACAACTATAAAATCTGAGGACTGAGTTCCCACGGTGGACAGAGTGCAGATAGCCCATTGTGTAGCTTTGCACTAAGAAAACAACAATTACTACTTCTAATTAGGCCGATTATAGCTTTCAGTATTATCCCGACTTATGTCAAGAATAGCATCGCTAGTGGATTAAAATAAATACACTAGTTAAAGAATTTCAAAAAGTTTATTACCAAGTTAACAAATTAACCTGTGAAAGAAACACGTATGGTGTCCTTTGATATAAAAAACTTATTCGCCAAAGTCCCAGTAGACAAAACCCTAAACGCTTTATGTACAAGTTTTTATTAAGTTTTTTTTTTGTTGTTGTTGTTAAGCGCACAGATACACTATGGGCTATCTGAATTGTTCCCACCACGGGTAACGAAACCCGGTTTTTAGAGTTATAAGCCTTCAGACTTGTCGCTGAGCCACTGGGTGGTATATATTACGAAGAAAAATAAGTTAGGAGGAGTAAAACTTTGTAATTAAGACGTTTTAAGAAGTATA